GGCTACTTGGAAGGCTGAGGTGGAAGGATTGCCGGAGCCCAGCAGGTTGATGCTGGGGTAGCTGTGAGCATGCCACTGCACTCCAGCCTGGGCGACAGAGTGAGACTCAAACTCAAAAAAAAATAAAAATAAAAATAAACAAATAAAAGAAAGGAGCGTTAGGGAAGAGACCATAAAAGAATTGGAGCCCAGGGAATCTAAAGAAGGAGGAACAGATGTTTTGTGTCCAGTACAAAGAAAGCAAAGGAAGATGAAGCTTTCAAAGAGATATTGGGTCTTGCCAAGGGGAGTACCAGTGGACCTTGGATCACAGCCTTATTAGTTTGATGCAGGGCTTTCAGTGAAATGAGGGAAACACATATATGTCACTTGCTTGAGGAATTTAAGTAAATGGAAGAAAAAAATAGTATATCAGAATTGAAGTCAAAGTTTATAGTATCACTGTATTACTAAAATCCTAGTAAAGTGTGGAAGGGGGGAAGAGATGAGTATTTTTTATTTAGCAAGGTGGATGTAGGACGATAGGGCACATTTTCTTATGATTCCACATAGATATGTGTAACATGGAGTTCATCCTGGCAGCTCAGTGTCTGTATTTCTTTCTTTCTTTCATTTTTTTTTTGAGTTAAAGTCTCACTCTGCTGCCCAGGCTGGAGTGCAGTGGCACATTCATGGCCACCCTGGCATCTACCTGCTGGGCACCAGCGATCCTTCTGCCTCAGCCTTCCAAGTAGCTGGGACTGCAGGTGTGCACTACCACCCCTGGCCAAATTTTGATTTATTGTAGAGACGCGGTCTTGCCAAAGTTGCCTGGGCTGGTCTCGAACTTGTGGGCTCAGGCAATCCACTCGTCTTGGCCTTCCAAAGTGCTGGAGTTACAGCCTGAGCCACCAAGCCTGGCCAATGTCTGTATTTCTTATACATGCATGGGATGCATAGCGCTCTGATGGGTCCTATCACATACCAGCTTCCCTCACTGTAACTGGCAGAGACATTTTGTTCTCAGTTCAGCATGAGGTATGTGTGAATCTGACCGGTCTCTGTATTTTATTTAACTCCTCTCTCTGTTTCTCTGTTAGTTTACCCATTGCCTTTGATTTGCTAGTCATGAAACACAAGTGGAAGAGTTTCTTTCATTGGTCGCTGGTGGCCCTAATACTCTTTCTGGTGAGTTTTCTTTTTTCTTGTTTTGTTCTGAAGTAACAAGAGCAACTTTGATGTGAAAATGGGAACATTAGGAGTTCATTTAAAAAAAATTCTTAGATGTATTCTAATAGCATCTAGAGACTCTTTCCAGAGCAGAACTTTCTAATTGCTTGTGTTTTCTGTCCTGCTTTAGGTGCCTGTGGTGGTCATTGACAGCTACTATTATGGGAAGTTGGTGATTGCACCACTCAACATTGTTTTGTATAATGTCTTTACTTCCCATGGACCTGATCTTTATGGTAAGGCTTTGTGAAATTTGGGAAAATGTTAGGAGTTAGCTTAAATTGCCTGAGCTTCAAAAATCTAATTTAGCTGTCTCATTTAATTAAATACAGCATTTTTTATTCTGCTGGTAATTGTCTTTTCCAGTTTGAGACTAGAATAGGGCCAGGTGCGGTGGCTCAAGCCTATAATCCCAGCACTTTGGGAGGCTGAGGCAAGAGGTTTGCCTGAGCCCGCAGGTTTGAGGCCAGCCTGGGTAACATGGTGAGACCATGTCTCTACAATAAATCAAAGAATTAGCTGGGCGTGGTATCTCGTACCTGTAGTTCTAGCTACTTGGAAGGCAGAGGCAGAAGGATCACCTCAGCCCAGCATGTTGAGACTGCAGTAAGCCAGGAGTGTGCCACTGCACTCCAGCCTGGGTGACAGAGTGAGACTCCAATTCTAAAAAAAAGAAAAAGACTAGAATGGGCTGGGTACGGTGGCTCATGTTTGTCATCCCAGCACTTTGGGAAACCAAGGCAAGAGAATTGCCCGAGCCCAGGAGCTTGAGACCAGCCTCAGCAACATGACAAGATCTCATCTCTACAATAAATAAAAGAATTAGCTGGGTGTGGTGACACACGCCTATAGTTCCAGCTACTTGGAAGGCTGAGGCAGGAAGATCGCCTCAGCCCATCAGGTTGAGGCTGCAGTAGCCATGATGATGCCACTGCACTCCAGCCTGGGCAAGAGAGCAAGATTGACTCAAAAAAAAAAAGAATAGAATGACATTTGAATATAGCCCAGTGATGACACATAACCACTTAAGTATTTCTCCCTGGTTAATGTGATACTCAGATACAAGCTCTCTGTCCTGCTATTTTTACTCCCACTTTCAGAGTTTTGAGAACTCTGTTGGGTATGCCATGACTTTTTATGCTAAATTTCTAAAATTAAGAGTTATTTTTCCCTCTTCTTATTAGAAAATCAATATGATAATAAAAAGAAGAAAATAAAAACATAGCCCCATTATCTTCACATAGCTATTACTAATTCCTAGGAATATATTTCTCCAGACATCTTCTATAGATATATACATTGACTGTTTTTCTTTTTCTTAATGTGTATCACCTCGATATCAGGCATTAAGGGAGAAAGTTTGGAAAATCTGTAGGGAAAATATATCAAATGGGGATGGACCGGCGTCATCATAAGAGGGTGGATAGTTGATCAGCTTAGGGATGGAGAAAAACACATGAATACCTTTAGTCTGGGGCTGCATTCTTCAGTTTACACCATCTCCACTCTCCTGGGATGCCTTTCACTTAAGTAGCCAGTTTTATATTTCCCCTGAGGGCATTTCAATTAGTTATAGTTTCGGAATGATGAGCTGGAGATCTTTTGAATCAGAGCAGTCAAGTCAGTAAACATTTTATGAGAGAGACAGTTTTTGCATCAAATTAAGTATAGTTTTGTCTGCCTTAATCTTTTCAGGGTCTTAGAGCATTCTATATATGTGATTGTTCTGGGGCTCTGCCATACAAGTTAATAGTATCCCTGTCTGACTGGGTGTGGTGGCTCATACCTGTAATCCCAGCATTTTGAGAGGCCAAAACTGGAGGATTGCTTGAGTCTAGGAGTTTGAAACTAGCCTGGGCAACATGGTGAGACCTCCTCTTTCCAAAAAAAAAAAAAATCACAAAAAATTAACCAGGCATAGTGGTACATGTCTGTAATCCTAGCTACTCAGGAGGCCGAGGCAGAAGGATCACTTGAGCCTAGGCGATCAAGGGTGCAGTGAGCTGTGATCGTGCCACTGCACGTGCCACTGCCTGGGCAACACAGTGAGACCTGACAAATACATACATACATACGTACGTAAATACATACACAAACTCTGTCTCTACCCCTTACAAATTTAAGTCTTGTCACTAGCCATGTCCCTCATTTGCCTGTACCACTTTGCCAACAGAACAAACAGATTGAAGAGATTTTAGGAAAGAGCATGAGTGAGATTGACTTGAGTGTCCTGGGATTTTGGGAATATTATCATTTTCGATGACAGTAGGTTAAAATAAGCGGTGTTTTGCTTGATGAATTGAATTCACAAACCTTATGGATAGAATAGTTGCTAAATGAAAGAACTTTAAAAAGGCTTAAATGGCTTCAAGATTTCTAATGATGTGAGAAAAAGCTCCAGTTTTAAGCTTTTGCCGCTAGATGTCTCCCTTTCACTTGGGAGGGTTGGCGTGTTTGTAATAGTGCCTTGTAGTTTACTTGTAAAATTTTATTTGATTCCACAAGACGGTAAAAGCTCTTAGATCCAGATTGCATGGTAGAAATGGGTTTACGTGGAGTCTGTTGGAAACGTAATATCCATTCTGCTTGGGTGAATAAATTGAGTGAATTTGTGTTAATTTTGAAAAATTCACTTCTTCACCTTCATAATGGGTTATTATATATTAATATTCTCACTGCTTATTTTATAAAAGTTTTGTGAGAGAATATGAAAGTGACAGATTTTTTTTTGTATCCCTCTAGATTGATGAGGCATGTAAATAGAGAAAAAACCAGACTGGTAGGGAAAGTAGGAAAGAATAAATTTTTTTGAGTTGGAATCTCACTCTGTCGCCTGGGCTGAAGTGCAGTAGCACAATCACGGCTACCGCAGCCTTGACCTGCTGGGCTCAGGCAGTCTTCCTGCCTCAGCCTCCCAAATAGCTGGGACCTCAGGTATGTGCCACCATACCCAGCTAATTTTTTGATTTATTGTAGAGTTGAGGTCTTGCCATATTGCCCAGGCTGGTCTCAGGCAATCCTCTTGCCTCAGCCTCCCAAAGTGCTGAGATTACAAGCATGATCCACTGTGCCTGGCCTAAATTCTGATTTTGGTTTATGCTTCTGGTTTAACAGTGGGTTGGTTAGGGACCTCTGTGGTAGGTTTTTGGATCCAGGACAGCAGTGGCCAGTCTCTCCTTGTACATTGGCATTTGCTGTTCATTTTGGTCGGTGTTTTACTGGGAATAAGGCCTTGGGAACTTCTTTCTGTCTACTTTGATGAACCTGGGACCACTTCAGTTCAGATTTTGCTATTTTGGATGGACAGGAACTCATCACTTGCTTAGCAGTGGCAAAAACTTTGTTGGAACAGAGAGAACTCTCACACCAGCCACGAACAGAACTGATGAAGGGCTGCAGTCAGTCAGACCGTAGGGAATTGCTTCTTGATGGTAGAATTTTTGTGTTTTTAACCTCATCTTTGAACATGACAAAAATTTTTGTCCCAATTTTCTTTCTTTTAAAGAATGTTAACTCCTTTTCGCTTTAGCAGGCCTGCAGATAAAATACATCTTCCATCTTAGGAAGGAATTCCTTGTATATTCCAAACTTATAGTAAAAGTTTGTCAGAGAGAGTGAGTTAATTCTGCAGTGTCCATCAGGTTGTGTTAGAGCTTTGTTTACTACTGTGCCCCAGAACTACTTTGGTTAGACCTGGTGTGGTGCTGGCATGGGATTTTCTTGTTACCAAAAAAGAGTAATAGATGTAAAATACTTTTTAAACCCAAAAGTACTTTTTAATTTTCAGCTGATTTTATTATAATTGGTGAGTTCTACTCCGTAAATGTGAAAGAGTTATCTTTTAATAGGTGCTATAAAATTGTCCAACAGTAAAACGCCATGTCTTTTATCTTAGAAAGTCCAGATGTTTCACTTTACTTACACGTTTGGCACTATTTTGGCTGTTTTACAAGAATCTCCTGCCCAGGTGCCTTGTTAGCTATGGTAGGCACATGGTTTCTTATCTGAAAATTAAAAATGCACTGTGCAGATAGTTTTTACATACATCTCTTGGTACTGTTTCTGATAGTATATTCTCATAGGAACATAGTAATTCTGTAAATATGTCTTGAATGAATGGACAAATGGATTTCAGTTAAAAAAATATTGAATAAATTGCTTTTGAGTGCTTACCATGTGTCCTCATAGAACTTGCTGTAAAATAAGGCTGCAGACACACAGATAAGTGCAAGACAGTTATGTGTCACAGTGGAAAGATAGGGAATCATGGGAGCAAGTTCCTCTGGTGGTTTCAGGAAAGATGTGCTTCTTGAGCTGAGCCTAGAAGGAAGAGTAGGAATGTCCCTGGTAGAGTGCATTTTAGACAAATGAAATGTCAAGCATCAGGATTGCTGAGGTAAAAAGATCAAATATTGAGTTCCTTTTTTTTTGTTTCTTTAGAGATAGGATCTCGCTCTGTCACTCAGGCTGGAGTGTAGTGGTGTGATCATAGCTTATTGCGACCTCAAACTCCTGGGCTCAAGTGATCCTCCTGGCCTCAGCCTCCCACATAACTGAGACTCCAGTTGCATGCCACCACATTTTAAAAAAATTGTAGACATGGAGTCTCACTGTGTTACCTAGGCTGGTTTCAAACTCCTGACTCAAGCAGTCCTCCTGCTTCAGCCTCCCAAAGTTTGGGAATTATAATTGCAAGCCACAGCACTCAGCCGAATATTGAGTTCTTTTTAAAAACTTCTGTTTACAGCATTGGTTGAATTTTAGGTAGAAATTATTCAGGCATGAGCAATTAACTTCAGTCTCTCCATTGTGATTGTAATCATATAAATATCTACCCTCTTTATTGTTCTTGGCTTTCTTTTTTCTTTTTTTCTTTTTTTTTGAGTTGGAGTCTCACTCTGTTGCCCAGGCTGGAGTGCAGTGGCATGCTGACAACCATAGCAACCTTGACCTGCTGGATTCAGGCAGTTCTTCCACCTCAGCCTTTCAGTTAGCTGGAACCACAGACATGTGCCATCATGCCTGGCTAATTTTTCTTGATTTATTGTAGAGACAAAGTCTCGCCAAGTTGCTCAGGCTGGTCTCGAATCCCTGGGCTCAGGCAATCTTCTTGCCTCGGCCTCCCAAAGTGCTGGGATTACAGACTTGAGCCACTGCACCCAGCCTTGTTCTTGCCTTTCAAAGGGACCTTTCTACATGTTTTTGGCTAGATAACATATATTAATGACACATTCCAGACCTGAGCTGACTCCTTTCTTTTGAAGTCAGGGGAAACAAAAGGAGTACTTTTTCACTGATACTAACTACAGTAGCTGCTGTTTATTGAATGCCTATTATATGCCAGAAATTCTACACATACATTCTTCTTCCTCTCACAAAAACTCTGTGAGATAGGCAATCTTTATTCCCAGATGGGTATACTGAGGTTGAGACAATGAGGAACTTGCCACACAGTGAAGCATCAGAAATGGAGTCAGAGTCCAGAGTTGTTTGACTTAAAGCCTGTGTTCTTTAAGCTAAGACAAACCCTTAGCAAAACACTGGAGTTTGGCTGCCGAGACTCTGACAGAGAGTAAGCTTGCAGAAACAGAGAATAGTAGGAGGTAGACCTGATCTATGGAACAGGTGGGAATTTGCACCTCTGAAGGTTTGTGTATTTTGACTTTGAGGGTGATCAAGAGTCCCTGAAGAGCTTGGGTGGTAGAGTGGATGCATACTGCAGGTTCTTTTTCACATGGGAGCACTGCACTTTTTTTGGAAGAAAGGAGTGTTTGGACAAGGTGAAGAATACTTGGCACTTAGGAAATTTAGAGTAGTGTAGACTAAAATTGCGAAGTCATAGGTAAAACATTATGGGGTCAAAGATGAAGAGGAGAAATTTGGTATGGCAGAAGAGAAAGGGACTGGTCTCAGCACTGATTTTGCCTCTTGTGACATTTCAAGTTCTCGGTTGTTGACGTACATGGGCATTTTTGTTTGGTGAGTGTACGAATGGTGTTCTTTGAGAGGAGCACACAGGCCTGGAGAAGGCATAGGAGGACACTGATAGGAAACATTCTTCCCTCAGAAAGAACAGTGAGTCAACTCAGAATACCTCTTTGCAGCTTAGACCGGGATCCCATTGCCTGTTAATGTGTTTTGTCAATGCCTGTCAGATCGCTGGGTGGAAAGCTTCAGAAGGTGAAGGTGAATGCCCTCTGTGGGAAGGCCTACGGGTTTCCATTCTTGCAGCAGCAGAGGAAAAAGCCCCAGTGGGGTCTTATGAGCCCTACTTACAGCTGACTGCCAGCCAGAATTGTTCTAGAGCCTTCACTCTTTTATTAATAGTTTCTGTTGAAACTATTAATAGTGGCTTTTCCCTCTTGGTGGTCCACATTTAACATCTATAAGGATAACTTACTATAATTTAGTTCCTTCAGTTCTATAAAATTATAGTTCTGTAAAATGGTTCCCCTTCATTCAATCTATGGAACAGTAAACATTATCCCTTCATTTAGCCTCTTTGAAAACTGCCTTTAGCTCATTTGAATGAAAGGAATGGAGGAACTTTTCCATAGGGAGGAAGATGGTGAGTCATGCTCTGCGGAGATCCTGCTGCCAGCTCACATTCACCTAACATCTCACTCCAGTTCAACACTTAGCTTGTCATTCTGATGGGGTTTTTCTGCATAGCTTAGCTTTGATGCATTCTGAGCAGCAGCGTTGAGTGTCTCCTCGGAAAGAGATGAAAGTTTATGCCCTTTCTTTCCTAAGGCAGGTGACTCTGGCTAACTGAACTCACTCTTTTTGTTCCCTTTTGCCCTTACTTGTAAAACCATTGTCACTTGAACCTTCTTCACTCTTGGCTTATCACCTAGTTTTTGCCCCATCCCTCAGGGAAATAGCAGTCTTATGAAATCTTCATAGCTAAGCTGAGAACTTGATTTATGAATTTCTAATACAAAAAAATAAGTGAGCTTACTAACTTAATACGTTTGTTTCTGCATCTTAGAGTACACTATACCTGGTAAAGGGATAGCTCTAACAACAGGGTATAGTAAATTGTGTTAGAGACAAATGTTTCTGGAAATGAAAGAACTTCCCTGAAAAAACAGTCTGTGTTTGCAAATATCAAAGAGACAAGAGGCTTTTGTCTATTGATGCTTTATGTCATAATAGATAATGCAAAGGATGACCTCTTTCTTTCTGGCCACTCTGTGGTTCTTCTTTGGTCTCAGATTTCCAGAACTTGTTTAAGGAAAAAGGTGGATCAGAAGTTGATGGCACACCACCACACTGGTGGTCAGGAGAGGATTGTGTGAAAGCTTGCTCTCTGGAAACTGGATCCTAAAGGACTCAGTTTAGGAAATATGTTGTTAAATATTAATTAAAATCCAGAGAAGACATGTATTTCTGTTTTGAAGATAAAAACCATCCATTAATTTTCTCTAACCCAAATGTTTACTGGTAAATAATACAAGATTAAAATGTCCCTAATGAACATTTATCCCATTGGCCTGGGATAGGACCTTTGTTCATGAACAAACTCAATCGTTGTATTTAGACAGGAAGGACTGAACTGCCCCCAAAGGTGATACAGTTGAACTTCAACCCTTGCTTAGTGTAACCACCCATCCTCTTCTCCCCTAAATGTTTCTAGCATTATGGGTTTGGTTTCTAATTTTATTTTGCTGTGCAAGCTGCATGAATGTCAGGTGTTTCTGACTATTCCTCTGCCTTCTGATTACCCTTTTAAGCAATGCTGATTGCAGGAAATTGCCGTGGTGCAAGGTGGGTGTCACATCACACAGTGATTAAAACCCGCATGTGTCATTCACTGCCTGATTGAAGTAATCATACAGAAGGGAAAAGCAGCCCTTGCTAAATGTGCAAAAGGGGGCTGTTTCTCATCATTTGGGTTTAAGGATTTTGAGTTAAAGAATTAAAACCAGTACTAGTGAGGCTCATGTTTTTAGTCATTTTGCTTCATTTTGAGTCCTCAAAGCTTTGGAGCAGGGCCTGGGGCTCTGAACATGATCCTAAGAAAAATCAGTTGTTGCTTTTTTCCAAACACACGGTGCCCTGTGAACATGATGTTAAAATAGTGGTTGAGCATATCAAGGGAAAAGAAGCTAGATTGTAAATGGGACAACAGTGAAAACAAAATAAGAGGCCTGAATGGCTGAAACTAAGTTCTTTCCTCTGGTCTGCAGAATGTGAGAATAAATTAAAAATTAAAATAGCGTTTTTATGATTTTAGCTCTATGTGGCGCTAAAGCTATTTAAATTATCTGATAGTTTTGAAAAAGCATTATTCCATTTGAGCACAGCAATTTGGGCTGGATATGGGAGTCAGTATAGAAAATACAGCTAACTATTTGAAACTCAATTTCTCTCTAAATCTTCATGACCAATCCCATTCTTTTCCCATCTTCTGCTTTTGTGCTTCCTGTGTGTGGTTTAGCATGGGAAGAGTGGGCTGTGGCATTGGATCATCAGTGTTACGGAGCACATTATGCATTTAGCACTGTAAAAGGTGTTGAAACTTCCACTAATGATTTCTCACCTCTTTGTCTCCCTCAGGTACAGAACCCTGGTATTTCTACTTAGTTAATGGATTTCTGAATTTCAATGTAGCCTTTGCTTTGGCCCTCTTGGTCTTACCACTGACTTCTCTAATGGAATACCTGCTGCAGAGATTTCATGGTGAGTGGCATGGTAGGAAAGAGCAACTGACAATGTATTCCAAGAAATGAGAAGACTCCTACTTACTTTAGTCTCCATTTTCCTCCTATAGAAATGGTTGGCTTGTTGAATTTTCAGTCTTGATTTGTTGATTATTTGAACCTGTGTGAATATGTGGTTAATTGTTGCACATATTCAAGTGAGGAAGTCAGTATCATTAGCACAGTCACCCAGGGAGGCAAAAACATTTATAAAATCTCAGAAGATAACAAGCCTATTTGATCCTTCTGTATTTTAAAGAAGTGTGTGTTAAACGGGTAGATTGCTTAAGATCCATGCTAAGGCTGGGTGCAGTGGCTCACACCTGTAATCCAGCATTTTGAGAAGCAGAGGTGAGAGTATTGCCTGAGCCTACTGGTTAGAGACCAACCTGGGCAACATGGCAAGACCTCATCTCTACAATAAATCCAAAAAAATTTAGCTGGGTGTTGTGGCGCATGCCTGTGGTTCCAGCTACTTGGGAGACTGAAGTGAAAGGATCACCTGAGCCCAGCAGGTTGAGGCTGAGGTTGCCATGAGGGTGCCACTGCACTCCAGCCTGGGCGATAGAGTGAGAGTCTGACTAAAAAAAAAAAAAGTCCATGCTTGAAGCAAACCTTTGGAAAGGTACTTCAACCAAAAACTTAAAACTGAACTATATAGGACTTCCCCAAATTGGATACTGAAGTAAGAGAAGCTTTGGGTTTCTTCAGAAGCATGATGCTTCTCTTTGTTCTGTTTTGTTTCTGTATTTACCCTGTTGTGGAAAGTCTGGCTTGTCATTTATTTTGCTTGCTCTTACTCTGTGTTGTACGGCTGGTGTTTTCAAGTTGTGGTGGCCTTGGATATCCAGTGCCTATTGTTTCTTTTATGGGAGGCAGATTTGAACAGAAATTCATATGAGGTTTGGAAAGGGATTTAGTTCCAAACTTGTCTGATTTGGAAGCCATATGATTAGTTTCCCCATTCCACCTCCATTCTGCTTTTCTACTATTGATAGTTTATGATCAGTTCACTGAGTTATAAGAATATTAGAGCAGCTTTCAGAGTCACTTTTGTGTTAGGACTTTTGTAACATAACCATAATGCCATTATCCTAACAAATTTTCTATAATTCCTTAATATCATTTAATATCCAGTTGATATTCAGATTTCCTACATTGTCTGAAAAATAGCCCTTTATAGTTAGTTTAAAGCAGATTCTAGCCAGATGTAGTGGCTCATACCTGTAATCCCAGCATCTTGGGAGGCCAGGGCAGGAGGATTGCTTGGACCCAAGAGTTTAAAACTGGCTTAGGCAATGTATTGAAACTCTGTCTCTACAAAAAAAAAAAAAAAGTTAGCCAAGTGCGGTGGCACACACCTGTAGTCCCAGATACTTGGGAGACTGAGGCGGAAGGATTGTTTAAGTTCAGAAGGTCAAGACTATAGTGAGCTGTGATTGTGCCACTGCACTCCAGCCTGGGCGACAGAGTGCAACCCTGACTCAAATAAATAAATAAATAAACAAATTAATAAAGCAGAATCTAAACAAGGGTCACATACCGAATTTGGTGTTGTTCCTTAGGCTTTTAAAGAAGACCCCTGTCTTACTTTTGTTCTCCTAAAGATTTCTTTAAAGAAACCAGGCCATTCATCTTGCACAATGTTCCACATTTTTGATTCAGCTGTTTGCTCCTTGGAGGTGTTAACTTGTTCTTTTATCCCTTCTACTTCTTCAGGATCACTTTTTCTCTTTTTGAAAAGTAACTATTTTTCTGACTATAAAAATAATTTATACCAACCAGGCCAGAGGCATGTGCCTGCAGTCCCAGCTCCTCAGGATGCTGAGGCAGGAGGATAGCTTGAGCTTGAGACCAGGAGTTCAAGACCAGCCTGGGCAATATAGCAACACCTTCTCTTTCTTTCAGATAATAATAATAGTATTAATATTAATAATTTATGCTTGTGGAAAATTTAGAAATGCTTGTGATGTAAGTAAAAAATAACTAGAATATTAAGCTGTTCTCTACAGTGTGGAATAATTTTATGGTACAAAGTAATACTGGTTTAAAATGTTTAATCTACACTCATATCTACCTAGTCAGAAAATGAGTGCTTTCTATTTTTATGTGTAGTTTAGAAATGGAAAATTTTTTTTAACAGAAAAAAATGCAAAACTATAAAGAAGCAGAATAGAAATTATCTGTGATCCCATCAAGCCCAGTTCTGGTTGTGATTTTATATATTGTATGAAGGACATTTCAAAATTTTTGGCCACATTTTAAAATAAATCATTTGTTAGCATATAAGGTATAGAAGAGAAAGAGACTGTTTTCTTATAGACAATACAAACATTTTTCTTCTAATAAAAAAATTTGTACCACAAGGAACAGTATAAAGTCCTAAATTATAACCTAAAATCTCATGATAAAATCTTAGAGCAAGAATTTTTAAAAATAGCCTTGTTGTTACAGTTCAATACTTTTTGTCTCTAAAGAATTTCTTCAGTGAATACAGATAACTTAGGAACGGGAAATTAGGTATTGCTAAATTGTATCTTAAATGATATTCCTGATCTTCTAAACTTTCTTACCATAGACATAATGAACACCAGGGAGCGCCGTCTGCCTACCCCTTGCCAGAGTTTGCTCTGCTCATTATCACTAATATAAACGCAGTAGGCGATGCCTTCACTGTGGGCTGCAGGCTTATCACTCTGTGCTGGTGTACCTAACCACAGGCACTCTCCAGCAGATTCCTGGGTCTTAGTGCTCATTACATTTCTTTAATTCTTTCACATGCTTTATGTACATTTTGGTCCCAATTTTGGGATCCAGTGTCGATGGGTATTGCAGAAGAGGAGAGAAAACTTAATCAGTATAGTTCCTTTAAGAGCATTTTAATGTTTGCTTTGAAACACTTTCTGTCATTTGTGGCTTAATGAAAACCAGTAATGTGTTTGAGAATCCACAGGTTTTTTTCCTTTGACCTATAACTGTTTTAACAGACTGATTGGTGTATAGATAAGAGGATTAATGAATTAAGTAGAACATAGGAATGAAAACCCAATAAAGTCTGTGTTTTGCTTTTGATTGATCTCAGGAACCCTTAGTCTTAGTAGCAGGACTTGCTAGAGGAAGATGGTTTTTTTCCCCCTCATCCAGTAGAATTTATCCAGTTCTATTACCCACTAACCTGACGATCATTTGTGTTCCAGCTAAATCCAATTTTGTGCCTCCCTTAGATTTTAGGTCTCTTGGGAGAGCAAGGAGTATATTCCTCTTTTGGCTTGATGCCTTTATCACACTGAAAAAAGTATAAATATAAGAGTTGAAACATTTTATGGAATGTCCTAGGGCATACACTCCCAAATTTGAGATCAGTATGACTTTGAGACAAATATGTTGATTTGTTCTACTATGTTGAAAGGTGGATATTTTTCTATGTCTTGCAGTTCAGAATTTAGGCCACCCATATTGGCTTACCTTGGCTCCAATGTATACTTGGTTTATAATTTTCTTCATCCAGCCTCACAAAGAAGAGAGATTTCTTTTCCCTGTATATCCACTTATATGTCTCTGTGGCGCTGTGGCTCTTTCTGCACTTCAGGTGAGTTTCAGGGAAAAATGTATCTGCTTTATTCTGTTCCACTTATTAAAGAGTTGCCCACAAAACTTAAACACAAATTGTAGAATGCTACCACCTAAGATATATCCATCACATTAAACCTGATGCAGATCCTATATTAAAGCTTTATGTATTGGTTACTTAGCTGTTCATCATACTCTTATTTGCTAATGACATGTTTACAGTGTTAATTTTCCTTTGTTGCTAGTAAGAATCTAATGACAGAGTTCCATTCTGTAGCAGAGCTAATGAAATGTGTGCTCTTTAACTACTAGATCAGAATAAAACTTGCTCAAGAGTTTGGGATTACATCAGGCAGTCAGTGACATGGGATACTTTGTAATCCTGGTTTAAAACCTGTCCGGGTCGATTTCCTGGCAGAGCTTATTTTAAGTTTGAATATCTCTGTACTTACGGCCTCAGTAGCCTCATAACCCTTTCTTGCCTTCTGCTACCATTTGCAGTCGGCAGAAAGAAATAATTAGGGTGATAGGTTTTTTCCTCAACAGATTTATTGAGATGTAATTCACAAACCTTACTTCACATATTTAAAGGGTATAATTCAGTGGTCTTTTGTACATTCACAGATATGTGCAACCATCACCACAGTCAATTTTAAAACATTTTCATCACCTCGCAACCCCTGCATGCTTTAGCTATTATCCCTCTCGTTCTTTTTCCCATATCTCCCCAGCCCTAAGTGACTACTAGTCTGCTTTCTGGCTCTATAGATCTACCTATTCAAGATTTATCACTCTGTCACCCAGACTAGAGTGCAGTGGCATGCTCCTGGCCACCGTAGCCTCGCCCTGCTGGGCTCTAGCAATCCTTCCGCCTCAGCCTTCCAAGTAGCCGGAACTACAGGTGCACGCTACTATGCCTGGCAAATTTTTGATGTATTGTAGAGATGAGGTCTCGCCAAGTTGCCTGGCGGATGTCGCACCCGCAGGCTCAGGCAATCCACTCGCCTCAGCCTCCCAAAGTGCTGGGATTATAGGCTGAGCCACTGACCCCGGCCTGGGTGATAGTTTTAAAAATAATTTTGATTATAAAAGTAATTGAACCTCATTGCAGATAACTTAGAAAATGGTAAAAGTATTCCCAATACCTTACAAAAAACACCTTCCAGCATTTTTATATATCATGATCAAGGTTTATTACGGTTGTAATAATAAGTGTACATATGACTTTCTATTCCTTTTAATTTAATATCATATTATAGCATTCTCTATGTTGCCATATCTATACTAATCATTTTAGTGCGGTATAATATGTTGAATTGGATGTAATATATAACATTATTAAATACTAGACAAAATATATTGACTTGTCATTTATAATGCAATGCTTAGATATAATTCATGTTAGAATTTAGGTTGCTCATTTATTCAATATTATAACTACTGCTAAAGATAAATATTTTCATTTGGATTGTTTGCATTCCCCAAAATATGAAAAGGATTCAGACAGATTTATGACATTTGTTACATATTGCAAAATTGCTTTCCAAAAGTAGTTTCCTTGAAAGGAGGGAAGGAAAGAAATCTGAGAAGAAGGTGCCTGAAGACAGCAGGCTTCACGCATGTGTGTTTATATTATAATAATCATCTAGTTTATAAAGTGGTTTAGCAGATAATTAGCAGCACTTTCCTCGTGTTCTGTGAGGGGTTTCTTTTTTCTTCTTACTTGGTCATGAGACCTTTTTTTGATATGAAAACTTGTCATCCAGGAAAGTAAAGATTAATACTCATTATATCAAAATCAAATAGAAATATTTCATATAAATAAAACCATCAAAAAGTTGTAGTTTAAATATTAAAAAAAATAACTTATTAGGACTCTAAATGCTAGCAAAATATCCAGATAATTTTCCTATGAAGCTAAGGAGATTTCATTCTTGGCAAGCCCTCTGATGGCCCAGACTACACTGTTTTAATGGAGTTGATTTTTATCTTTTAATTTTTATTTATTATTTATTTTTGAGGTAGAGTCTCACCCTGTTGCCCAGGCTGGAGTGCAGTGGCACGATCACAGTTTACCACAGCCTTGGACTCCTGGGCTCAGCTGATCCTTCCACCTCAGCCTCAAGTAACTGAGACTGTAGGCGTGTACCACCACGCCTGGCTGATTCTTTTGATTTGTTGTAGAGATAAGGTCTGGCCATGCTGCTGAGGTTGGTCTCAAACTCCTGGGCTCAGGTGATCCTCTTGCCTTTGCCTCCTGAAGTGCTGGGATTATAGACATGAGCCATGGCACACAGTGGCTTTTATTTTTGAATTTGGAGTATTTCACTAAGTGTTTGCAAATGCTTAGACCCTTCATAGAAGCTTTTTTCCAGCTTCCTCACTTTTTAAAAAAAATTTAAATTAAAAATTTTTTTGAGTTGGAGCACTTGTTGCTCAGGCTGGAATGCAGTGGCATGCTTACGGCCACCCCAGCATCGACCTGCTGGGCTCAGGCGCTCCTTCGCCTCAGCCTTCCAAGTAGCTGGAACTACAGACGCACACCACTATGCCCAACTCATTTTTTGATTTATCATAGATATGAGGTCTCACCAGGTTGTCCAGGCTGGTCTTGAACCCCTGTACTCTGGCAGTCCTCTCACCTCGGCCTCCCAAAGTTCTGGGATTATAGACTTGAGCTACTGTACCTGGCCTACTTCCTCACTCTTTATGTTACTGTGATACTTTATGATTATGTATATTCTGCAAGGTATATCTCATATCGATATGGTTTTCTTTCCTTCTAGAAATGTTACCACTTTGTGTTTCAACGATACCGCCTGGAGCACTATACTGTGACATCGAATTGGCTGGCATTAGGAACGGTCTTCCTGTTTGGGCTTTTATCATTCTCTCGCTCTGTGGCACTGTTCCGAGGTAGACGTCTGGGAATATCTTAACCCACACTGATGAGGCACTTCACCTTAGGTTCCATGTGCATAATCATTTAATCCATGTTTGGTTTTGGCTAGGAAGAGGCCTTTTCTAAAATGAGAACCTGCAGACTTAATACTAATGAGCGGGATGTGACTTCTGTCCCTCAGTGCTGGAGAGAAGAATGAGAGTTTCTCTTAGTGTGATTAACTACACATTTTTTCCTCCATTTTTATTGACTTCTTTTCTTTTAATGGATGTTGATAAATTAAGGAAGTCTTAAACTTAAAATGCAAACTTGGGGCTAGATTCTCACGATTATATTCTTATAATAATTATTTGGATCTGCAGTATTAAAATATGCTCAAGGAACATGAAGTTAAAAAGGTGAAAGGGTATAGAGAAGAGCTAGAAAGCAAATTAATTTTGGCCAAATGGAGCCTCTGCTGCTGCCATCTTCCCAGCTAGAGACATTTTATACCCGTGGAGCAGGGTTCCTGCTGGAATAGCTAGGGCCCTTCACGCTCTTTAAATTTCATGTGGGTTACAGTGGAACTTTAACATGCATTATAATTAAATATCAGACTCTCATCTTACTCGTCTTTGGCTTTCACTAACCATTTTCCCTTCCAGGATATCATGGGCCCCTTGATTTGTATCCAGAATTTTACCGAATTGCTACAGACCCAGCCATCCACACTGTCCCAGAAGGCAGACCTGTGAATGTCTGTGTCGGAAAAGAGTGGTATCGTTTTCCCAGCAGCTTCCTTCTGCCTGATAAGTAAGTTGTCCTTTAATTCCCGGAGTTTTAAATCAAGGATCAATTTAGCAACTCTGTGGCAGTGTCTTCTAAATTTTTATTTCATTTGGAGTTTTCATAGAAAGCTAACGGATTGTTGACCTTCTCAGAGAGCTGTGGGATTTGCTTTGTGCCCCGTCTCCTGTGTTCATAGACTGAGTGCTCGTCTGGGTAGGCACCCTGCACAGTCCATAACCATGGGTGTCTGGGGACTTGTGAAAATGCTTTGGGCCCTAGGCTTCTCCTGGAGGCTCTTCCTGAGGATTCATATTTACACTTCTGTAATTATCTGATATTAATTCACTTCTAAAAGTGATCTAGAAACTCTGGCTGGGAGAGCGTTTTTAGAGGAGGAATTTTTTCCACTCAGCAGCAGTGAAAGTTCTCCATCAACATATAGACACTAGGGAAAACTTTGGCTAAGACATCTGTACCAGTTTCCTTTATGCTGCCTGTTAGATGTGGTAGCACGGGCGCTAGAGGTTCTTGTATTTTGCTTAATTTGGCCAGAAGAGTCTTATGTAGGTAAAAGGGAAATCTGGTTACGATGAGTCATGTTGCTCCATTTGAGGACTAGCTTCCGGAGCTGAGCTTTACCCAGTGATAGTATCTTGTACTCAATGAAAAACCCTATATCAGTCATTAATGATTAAATTAAACCTTGTTTTTTAAGTGTTGACCTTGGCCTTTGACTTTTATATTTGAAATAATTTTATTGCTAAAGATAAGTTTGAGGGTTACTCAGTAACAATGCATTTCTCCCGTAGTGTGTTCTCAGTGCCATATATTACCTTTCACTCTTTTTCTGTACTCCTGATAACTTGTTTTAATTTTGATAAGTCCCACGCTCACATGGAAATTGGCAATAAACCTTAACACTTAACTGACTGATGGTATGACCATTTGGTTGCGAATTTCTCTGCTCAGAGTTGGTGAAATGGGTCAAGAGACCGCTTGTTTTAAATTGTAAATTTCTCAATGATTTTGGACTGATTCGTGACCTCTGCCTCTAATGCTCCCTGGTTGAGGTTTCAGCAGAAATATCTTCTCTTCAAGTGAAATGTTTTTCACATGATTTTTTTTTTGGGGGGGTGTTTATTTCAAGTACATTTAGCAATATGATCCCCCTGTGTTTTTCTTCTCCTTATTTGTGTTTCTGACAGTTGGCAGCTTCAGTTCATTCCATCAGAGTTCAGAGGTCAATTACCAAAACCTTTTGCAGAGGGACCACTGGCCACCCGGATTGTTCCTACTAACATGAATGACCAGAACCTAGAAGAGCCATCCAGATATGTAAGGGCGACATTCTCTTCTTGCTTCTTTGAAAGGAATTCTACTCTTAAAATTTGTCATATATAACTAGAGCATTTATAAAATGAGAATTTATTATCAAGTGATTTTTTTAGAGTGAGAAATACAGCTTTTGTTGAGAAAGAGTAAATAGTATCATTTTAATTTTCAAATTAACCTCTTTCCTTATTTTCTATATAAAGTGTATATTTTATGTAATTACTATTCTTTTGGGTGGGCTGGAAGTTTTCTCATGGTAGACCTGAACCATCATTCTGAAACACATTCTGAAACTCATATCATTCCTTGGCCCATTGAAATCCTTGGTGGGTAACTTCCAAGTTATCAGGTGGACCTTTCGCCTAGCTATTAGCATATTCTGGTTTTAGCAAATGAACAGTCAGTGAAGACTGTTTCCATAGCGAGTGCCAGGGAGCAATCTCCGTCACTGCCATGATCTTCTACCCACTTGTCTTTATGTACTCTGAGATCCCATGTGAATTTTATTTTGGTTCCTTTGAAAGATGACACTTTTGACGTTTGATACATTGAATGCTTTAATCATGAAACAGGTAAGAACAATAACGATAATACTCTTCTTGGGTCAGAAAGGCGATAAAAGATCATTTTATAGAATTATTAGAAAGCACTTTTTTGGCAATCTGTTACAAAGACATTTAACAGTTTAAATGTCAACTATATTTAATTTAGGCTTTCTTATGTCATATGCTTAAAATGTAAAGTAGTGAGACTTCCAGTTCTTTTCAGAAACAAACCTGCAGCCACATCTGGCCTTTGGTCTCCCAGACTGGGGCTTGCTAGACATCCATGGTGATTCTGAGGGTTTGTGAGTGAGATTTTTATTGTATGGGTTTTAGCTGTAAGCTATGAAAATGGACGTAGTGAAGACACATCCTTGGCCTGCCCCGCTGAGGTGAGGTGTGCATTTCTATCACATAGCTTGTAGTAGAGCTTCATTCTTTTAACTTACAGCTAATTCCTGCTACAATGAAAATACTCCTGGGCAAGGTAAACTGCAGATACTCTCCTAAGAGCAGGCTTCCATATATAAGGTATCACAATGGGAGCAGTGGACAGTTAGAAGAGTGGGAGAATACACCATGATGGAGATGATATAAATTCAGAGTGATGTGATCAGAGCTACGCTTTAGGAAGAGGTAGCATGTGGTGGGAAAAAAAAAGAAAAAGCATGGACTTTGGTGTCAACTAGGCCATGCATTTAGAGCTCAGCTGTGTTGCTTACTTTTGTGAACTTGGCACACCAGCTAACTTCTTTGCCAAAACTATTTTCAGTTGATATCTATGAAATGGTGCCTACTTTGGAATTAGTAGATTTAATAGTATACCTCTGCCATATTTAGCATAGTATCTGGTGCATAGATTTTCCCATAAATGTTCTTAATCTGATAATGGTATATCAGAAGGATTAGAGATAAAGGAACCCTTAAGGGGTTTTATAATCTGCCTGAATCTGTCTCTCCTTCCTTTCTTTTATTGTTCCCCATTCTGGGTTTTATCCAGTCTGTCCAGACTCATCATTACCTTTTCCACCCCAGTGACTTTGCTTATGTTGGTGACCATGCCTATGTTACTCTTGTCTCCCTTCTTACACTGCCAAAGTTCTCTTCCTTTTTGAAGTCAATTATTTAAGTCCATATTGAACAGTGTTTCCTTTAAGTGTCTTAAGTATTTATCTATACAAGTCACTTAGCTATTTAATTTGTTGACCTATGCTTTTTAAATATTTCTGATATGTATGTCATGTCTTTCCTCATCAAATGTTACGTAGGGAATGACTATCACTTGTTTCTTCTGAATTCACCATAACATCTAGGATGTATCATATACCTAGTATTTAGCCTTTACATGCCTTCTCAGTGGTGAATGAATATTTATCATCATTGGGATAATGATATTAAGAGAAAGCTGACTAGAAAATCTACAGTGGTCTTTTGCATATTTTCTGGCTTTGGTTGCTAGCTGTCTCTGGTTAGGTTATATTTCCATATTCTCTGCTATCAAACATGTTGCATTTTATTAAGTGTCTCTATGAGCCTTACCTAAAAAGCAGTTGATTTTTCAGAATGCCAGTAGGAGTCACCAAAATGCTGGCTGATAAAAGCAGGGACAAACAATTGACATGAGCTGGGTGTATATTGTCTGTTGTTGTGTCCATCCGCATTCCTCAGATTGGATTTTCTTGCAGCATTGTCTTCTTGTTCTGGTCTCAGTGGATTTTCCCGCATGGAGTGAAGTGCCCTCCGAATTCAACCCACCCACCTTTGACCCTTTGGAAACTAGTAGGGACATTAAATGGCTTGCTCTTGATTCTACATGAACTATCATGAGGGATTTATCTCTTTCAGTTAACTGTTTAAAAGGATATTTGTTTTCCTCTGATGGTGTGAGTAATATATATTAATTGTATAAATTTCATTATAGACAGGAAAAATGCCTGTCATTTCATTACCCAACTATTACCGCTGTTATTACCACTGTGTTTTTCTTCCAGCTTTTCTCCCCTTGTATATATATGTGCATTTGTATATAAAAAAAAAAAAACAGTTAAAAAAAATGTAGTATGTTTAATTCTTTAAGAAGTATACCAGGATCATGACTATAATGGCCAAATAACTTTGCCTGACATTTAGAAGCACAAGTTGTAGTACGTTTATGTTTGCTACTTTAGATATATATCCTAGTTTTTAGTTCAGATTTATTCAAGAAGGCAAAATAATTATGTCCTCTATCTTTCCTGAGCATACTAAATAGCATTATTTTTATCTGCCCTTTGGCTCTGAGTGACAGACTTTGGCCAACCTTTGACTTTAATATTAAGTGGTTCAGTCTATCCCCTGTTTCTATTATACATGGAAACTAGGAAAGATGTATGACTTCTTTCATTTCACCATCCTCCTTTATCTCCAAGTTTAGCAAGAATTAGGAGTGAGAATCTGTAAAGACTTTGTGGTTCGTACAGTACTGTTATAACTATATTGCAGAAATAATATTTTTGCTGCATATTTTTTCATGGTAGGTATTGAGTAGTTATAGTAGTTATTAAACATCCAATTATTGAACAGGTAGGTACATGCCAAGATTTTCTGCCAGAATCAAGATCTTTTGCTCTTGACAAATTCAAATTTTTGTTCACTATTTCAAGGTGAATGATACCCTTTCACCTCCAAATCTGGTATCTGCTTTGGGAGCTACTTAGTCAGTGGATGAGACCTTAGAGAAAAAGCCAGCTCTTTAGAATAAAGCTTACAGAGAACCAATTTTCCCTGACTTTGATTTAATGCCTAAGGAGACTTCCTGGAAGCTTGTTCATTTGTTATCTTTCGTTGTGGTTGTTTTTAAGAGACTGGGATCTCACCATGTTGCCCAGATTGGAATGCAGTGACATGTTCATAGCTTATTGCAGCTTTGAACTCCTGGGTTCAAGCAGTCCTTCTGCCTTATCCTCCCAAATAACTAGGGTTGCAGGTGCATGCCATCACGCCTTGATTGATTGATTGATTGATTAATTAATTAATGAACTATTGTAGAGTCCAAGTCTTGGTATGTAGCCCAGGCTTATCTCGAACTCCTGGCCTCAAGCAGTCCTCCTGCCTCAGCCTCCCAAAGTGCTGGGATTGCAAGCGTGAGCCACTACACCTGGTCTCCATCTGTTATCTTTGAAAAGTGGATTGGTCACTGATTAATTTTTTTCCCAAACAGTAGTATATTCAGTTCTATTATAGCAAGGTGTATAAAATTGCAAAAAGTATTGTGTGGTAAAAGCCACAAGTTTTATGAGGAAAATGAGATTAGGGACACAATACTCAAAATCTTTGTCAAAAATGGAGATTAAAAATGGTAGCAAAGGTCAGCCCCTTCAGGTCCCAACCTCCCACTGTGGGAGCTTTTCAGTCCTCTTAATAAGTCCTGCTTTCTAAAAAAAAAGTAGCGCAATTTTACATATGTTAAATGGTTAAACGTACATCAATACCACAATAACTATGGTAGTTTACCTTGAAGAAGACCTGAAGTTTGATGGTGGAATGGCACTTGAAGGATTGCAGTTTGTGAAGTAGTGAATCTGAAGTCTGGCAGAAAGCTACAATAACAAAGATCCATGAATGGATGGTTGTGGCTTATAACATAGTGACCTGAAGAAGGTGGTAGATATTTGAGTGTGTGCTTGTATGCACTTTGTGTATTCCTACACTGATTGGTTCTGCTAAGTGCAGCTTTCTGCATTCACCTGATGCTTCTTGTGGATTAAATGACCCATAATGAAATGCAAAAATTATGCTCAAAGTGTTCCCTCATATATCCCTTGTGTTGGACAAATCTGCATTTTCAAAACAAGTATTAGAACAGAACTGACTGTATGTTCAACCAAAGCTTTCTTTATTTCATTCTTCTTTTTCCCCGCTTTTCCTACTTAACCAGTGGAAAGAATCATGGATTTGGAAGGGAACTTAAGATACAGAGTCTGCGATCTCTTCATTTTATGAGTGAAGGAACTGTGGCTCAGAGAGTTTGTAATTAACAGAGGTTAGCCCTTGGATAAGAAGCTTGGTTTCAGGGTTCCCCAGTATTCTTTTCATGTTTCTTATTTGTATATGTTTTCCTGTGATGTCTAATTATTCTTTGATGTTACAATGCTGAATTAAGTAAGTAGCTGAATGTTACTTTGAAAAAAGTTGCTTTTCCATTTCCAAAGCACTGATTTAAATGTGATAGATACTTTAAGTAAAAATATTGTGATTATCAATAAACAAAAACGACCATGGTCTCCCCGCTCCCACCACACTTTTCTTCTCTTTTTCTTCTTTTTGGTCTCATTTCATCCTTTCTCTTTCTTTTTGAAAGTCCATATTGGAGGAGAAAATTAATTGCCCTGTTAGTCTCCTTACTAATTGTTACCCGTTTGGGGATCAAAGCAAGCAGATTCATATTGCTTTAATATATACTCTGTAATCAAATGGAAATCT